TTTCCATTTTGATCATGTAAAAATAATGATATAAATATTTTTGGAAATAAAATGTCTTTTTATGTCACCAATATTTTTATGATCCACATTTCCTTTTCTTCTATGATGCTACAGAATTAAAGTATGAGACTCTTAAGCATCTCTGCTACAGGCTGGAATACACTTAACCAGATATGTGCCCTAATTTAAAGTCAAAACTAGTTGCACATTATCAGTCTTGAGCTAAAAAACTAAAAACGTAACAATAATGTTATGCGTCTCCTAGCAACAAGGCACATTTATTTTGTGCTGGGAATGACTTTAAATGGCATTGTGTGATCCTTGGTTATGTAGTGTATGACGCCTAGTGTTTTAAAATCTGTTCAGATTGTAAGTCATATACTTCAAAATATAGGTCTACACGAATCACAACACACATAAATGGTTTTCTACATTAACATTTTTATTCAGAAAAAAAAAAAATGTACACTGAAATAACAGGGATAAACATAACAGTAACATTACAAGGTGGTGACAAAAGAAAAAAAAAAAAAAAAAAAAAAAGGATATGGGTCAACCTCAAAAGCTCACTTTGTCCTGCAGTATTGTGTGCTTACATTGGGACATTATAATAAACTTCAGCCAAGTGGCGATTTTATTCTCAGGTTCACAGAGATTACTGTGAACCTATGAATAAAATGAAGGGAAATGTTTTCAATATGAGCAAATATATTCCAAAATTCTCAGAGGATGAAAGATATGACATGACAAAATGCAAGCAAACTGAACTAGATTAATGTGTGTATAAGATCATTGTGGTGAACAAGCCCTGGGTTGGCATTACAATACATGCCAACGAGCTGCAAAAGGTGTTTGGCATATGACTGGGAAGAGGTTAAACATGGAAAACCCCGTCTAAATGCCATTTCCCTTTCCAAAAACACTCAATTTATTCACAGTCCCCTTGGTACAAACGGGGAGGATTGGTTCAATTGCTATCATCGTCAACTATGCCATTTGGAACTGGACTAGCACACTCATTATCATATAAAGGGGAATTCTGAAGCGCAGCTGACTTTTGTTTGAGTGGCGTATGGGCTGAGGTGCTCTGATCGAAAGTGCCTTGATTCTCTTGACTGAGGAACTGTCCTGAAGAACTGGTTGATGGTTCATCTGCATCTGCCTGGATGGAATTCTGTGAGGATTCTGGGGGGAAAAGTATCAAATAGTGATACAAAAACTAGACTCAAGCAGCTGAATCTATATGCATAACAGTGGACCCAGATTTTTTGCAGGACTATAGGCAAATGAGAGAACTTTCATTCTAATCGTAACACACCATACAAACACCCACATGATGGTGATGACATTAATGACTCCACACACCTAACTGTTTCTGCTTCGCAAGTCTCCTCTCCAGAGCCAGCTGTTTGTTGAGATCTATGCGCTGCTGCTGTTCCTCCGTGAGAGAGGCTGGAGCAGGAGTAGAATGGACAAACGGGTCTTCAGGGAAACCTTCGTCTTCAACTGGATCAGACTCTTCCGGTACTCGAACCTCAGCATCCTCTGAAGGGGAGTAGAAAGTCAATGAATTTATACCTGCTGCTTTCAATAGTAATACAAGACAGCCAAAAGTTAAAGTATCATTACCAACGTAGTCTTCATGTGTTATTGGCATGTCCAATCGAATTCGTTTCAGACATGTCTAATGGAGAAACAAAGTAAAGCATTAACAAAGGATGCAGACAACTTCCATTAAGGATGTACAATAGCACACATTGAGGGCTTTTAAATGAGGTCCATACTTCCTAGATTAAATATCGTATTCAAACAGGATTCATTCTTGCGTTGATTAAACAGAAGGCATTTATATGTGCTTTAAATCCCATGTACTGTTGTTAATGTTAAAGCACACATTTAACACTAAAAACATGGAAATCATGGTGTGGCATCAAGGAAAAAAAAAACAGCGACACATGGTGCAACAGTCTAAGACAATTGTCTAGTGCATGTGTACATAGAGCAACATTTAAAATCGACTGGCTGGATATGACTCGAGTTTGAGTACCGCACATGGTCTTTTCCTCCCCTCTCTTATCACTTCCTGTCACCACTTCTACTGTCCTATCATAAAGGCATAAAAGCCAAAAATATAACTTTTGCCAAATATATACACAAAAAAGCAGACATAAATGTAATTACATGAAAAAAATAGCACAGAGAACAAATCCTGAGTGAGCGGCCCCTAGTTAAGCTTGAATTTGCCTCAAGATAAAGTGTTCTTTTTCATTAAGTGCCAGACATCTTACCTGAACTTCTTTTTTTCCGCCCAGACTCTCCACTTTATCAATGAACTCCTCAAACTGCATTTTAGGATATAGGCGATGGGCCCAGTTTTCCATTTTCTGCAAAAGGAGCTTCAGATTCTCTGCCTGAATCAGAAATAAATGAAGAGGGTGCTCACTGACAACTGTATTCACATATCACATCAACTCATTTATATACATAAATGTTAGAACAACGGCACCTGAATTCAGGAGTATTTCAATATTTCACACACAAATGGTGAGGATGAAGTGAAAAATGAGCAATTACCTCATGCCCTTTGCCTTTGAACTTAACATCTTCAAATAAAGTACGCAAAGCTGGAAGACCCTTCTCAGAAATCAACCTAAAAGAGAGAAGATGGTGAACTGTAAACACTGGAGAAACTCAAGTCAAGTCATATTTATTTATAGCACCTTTCATAATAAATATTGTTTTAAAGCAGTTATAGAGAAAATCATGATGCTAATGTTTACAATATCTTAATTTTGTAATATATTTTACATTTTGTGATGATACAAGCAATAATGCAGTTTAAAAATTCTACATAGTATATTAGAGCTATATAACGTTAAAGAGCTGGGTGATAATATCATATGGTTACATTTTACAATTAAAAAAATCAGGTTGCTGAGATTTGCTATACATTATATATATATACGCACTATATGTATGCAGATAGATACATTTGGAAATAATATATCCAACTTTATATACAGAACTGTGCAATAATACGGTTTACATTTTGCGACAAAAACCATCATGCAGTCAATAATTGCTATATAGTATATATTGCTTTTCGGGAGTATACTGTATGAGCGCAGGTAAAGTAGGACGTTAATTCAAAACACAGACTGTCTGCTAAAACAAATTATTATAAGTAATTATCAATTAACTGGCATCTGGTTCAGTAACGTACCTGTTTGCATCCAGTTTAGGCTGAGGCCTCTTCACTGTTCGTCTTTTTGCCACTGGCACTTCTGCTAGTTTTGACACTTCTCCTTCCTCCTCACCTAAACACGTAGCATGGGAACAGCTCACATTACTATAGCATCAATTGGACAAAGATTCCTAAAGATTTTGAGCACTTATAGCATAGGAGCACCATGAAAAACAGACCCTCTCCATTGCGAAAAGGATCCTCCTCGATGTCTCCTTGACCAGGCGATGATGGAGGAGGGAGAGGAGGGAATCTCTCATCCTCTATGTGCTCATAATCTGGAATGTCAAACGCGTCATTTTCTAACGGATCGAGCATGGTGCACGGGATCCTGTAGAGAGATAGGAGCATATGATCAATTCTACAACATAATAATTCTACTTTCAGTGGTGTTCAAGTAAATTATTGGCTTCAATGACTTCAATGTTAAAAAAAAAATCTTATTTTTGCAGTATGTGTAAATAGACGGTCGAGTATGCGTTGCACGCTATATTCATCCAAACAATGTCACTGACTCATTTATGAAAATAATGGAAGTTTATGGGTTTCAAAAATAGTCTGAAAAGTACATAAACTGTACAAAACAATGGTACATGATTTAATTATCGGAACTAATCCTTATATTAGCACACCTAGCGCACATACAATCATAGAAATGAACAGATTAATGTAAACGTAACGTTAGAGGACAGCTGTTTGTTACTGTCACAGCATTTTGGCGCCAGACAATGTCAATCCGCACATCGCCCTCGGTTTCGCCCATGTCTGGATATCAAGCCCAACCGATGTCACTGTCATTTCAGTGATAAACTGAATATCAGTGCGGTCCACCGAACTTACTGAATAAATGCTATCAAAGGACGAAACTTCAACACCGACCACAGCACAAGATCATCAACACGGACCACGGCCAAAGTTTCTGCCGCCAGCGGTGGCTTCTTCTTCTTCTTCTTTGGAATTTTTGGCGTATTCCGCACCGTAGGCACATACCGCCACCAACTGTTTATATACATACATGGATGATAGTCCGTCTCTATTCATATTTTATTTTATTGTTCATTTTATTTCGGGTTCACCCAAGCTGTATTTCTAGCTGCTGCGTGTTCAGCTCCCATGCCAAAAAACCCAGCTTGTGTGTTCCTCTATTCCTTTGCTTTATTTATTTAACTATCAAATTCGTTTGTTTAATCCTGTTCCTACTATATATTTCATTACTATTCTTTGATTAATACCTTCTTTTAATCCTTTTCCTAATATCCAATTTTTCTTCTTTTTTTTCTTTATTATTACCTTTTAAGTTCTTTATCATTTTAATTCTCTCTATATTATATTTCCGTCATTTCTGCATGTGTTCTGACAAATAATGCTACCTATCAGATTATGCTACCAACACTGTATTTATCCTACTGTAAGCGTAGGTTTGAGGTAGGTGTACATGTTAATAAAGCCTCACAGCGGGCGGCTAAGCATTCCCTCAGCCAATCAAATCTCTGCTGCGGCGCACGCCAGTGGTTCTGTTGCGTCGCTGCTCTCGTGGCTGAGGAGAACTGCGACGTCTACCGGCGCGGAGAACTGAAAATACAGACTTTCACAACAAAACAAAACGGATAGTTTTGCCTGAGTTTACAGAGGTAGACACACCAAAATACCAAAACAGGTATAATGCAGGTTTTCAAACTTTATTGAAAGCACAGATCTCATACACGTGGATCTTAATACTGCAATGTATGTATGTATTGGTAGGTTGTAGTCCCACTGAATTTCAGTATTTTAAAAGGTTTCACAAACACAGTTATTATGGTATTTATTTTATTGTCTGTTTGTTTGCCACATATACAAACACCATTGTTTAATAGGGTTACATAACTGCTTTCAAAAAGTTTCAGAAACTTCCATCTAACTTTTCTCACCTCATAATCAAACACCCAAACCTCAACTTATCCTCTGAGTAATTTGTTGAGAGTTGTTTGGATGGTCCAACAATTCATGAACACAGATGTACATTTGTGGACCATTTTATTTGAATTTACATGTAAACAAGTCTCGGCATGTCATCGTTATTAATAATAATCAATAAAAAAGAGAAGGTACAGACACATGCAATGTGAAAAAATATAGTTGTGTAAATGTGAAGCAGTCTGTTTTATATTCGTGTTCTAAGCAGGAACATGAGAAAAACTGCACTGAGGAGAATGCAGAGAGTGCACACAGTGGGGACGACAATCTCTGTGACCATCTCCATGTGGCTGATCAGTGGATCTGGAGAAAAACAAGTCAGTAAGTCAGTGACAACTAATAAAAGATACATTCAGTGAAAACATAAAGGTATTCGAAAATCGCACTAGCACTGGACAGAAAACATGAAACATGACATCCTGAGCCCTGTACCTAAACTTCATCATGCACAGGCCAAACCTTTGGCATATCTGCATGTTCCTTATTTTCCTTGGATTTTCTTCTAGCTGAAAGGGCAAACAAAAGAAAATTCCTGTTAGAAAGTTACCATATAATTTCCTTCTCTATATATTGTGCTTGGTTATAAATAGAAAATGTAATTTGTGACAGAATTTTCTTTTCTTTGCCCCAGCTAGATCATTGCCGGCTGTGCTGCCCAGTGGGAGAGAAGTCAGCAACAGTTACACTAACCTGCCGCAAGGAGCTGGTTGCTTGAGGTGCATGTTTCCAGTGCCTTTCTTTTCCAGCTTTCGATCTGTGGTAAACATTATCCAATTTAAATTCATAAGATGTAAACTGAGACATAATATAAAGACATAATATATATTTATCACACAAATTGCACAAAAAATGCTAAGACTCTTGTACACTTTGACTCAAAAGATGAAATAAAAAATTAATTTAGCATACAATTGTAATGCTAAACTCAATGAAGTCATACCTCTCTCTGATCAGGGAAACCATTCGAGCTGATGATGCGCTTGTAGTACTGAACTGATGCTTTGGGGTAGCGTGGTTTATTTTTGCTGCCAAAGTCCACGTAGTACAGGCCAAATCTTTCAGAGTAGCCCTCATCCCACTCAAACTTGTCAAGCAATGACCAAGCTGTGTAGCCTTTCACATTCACTCCATCTTTAACCGCTGAATGAAAAAAACAAAAAGGTTCCTTTGAGTGGTTGTATAGACTTTATTTATCAACGTATAAAGAGAATTATGATTTGGAGCTCTGTAGAACTCTTGTGTTTGAAAGAAAGCATTTTATAGACCACTATCAGTCATGCTCAGTCTGTAATCAAGTTTCTGTCAATTTTGATTTGCGTGTTCTGAATGTTTTTGTGACTCAGGTCGAATGGCTCAATTTATGCAGTCTGTTCTAAAACAGTGGTTCTCAACTTTTTTGACTGAAAGGCCTCCCATTTTCCAACTCAATATCCATAGTCCTTCCATAACCATCACAATGGTTAAAATATTTCCTCTGATATTTCTGCTGAAGGTATTACAATGCTGACTGTTTGACAATGTTTTCAAATCTTTTTATTAACAGAAACTGCGAGTGTTGAAATGAATTATATACAATTCTAAAGTTTTTTCTATAAAAATAGTCTTTGATGGGAAAAAAGAAATATGATTTCAGTTTGATCATTCCATCTTTTTTTAATATATATATATATATATATATATATATAGGTTTGTTCTGGCCTCCTTGTTGAAAACCACTGGAAAGAGCATTTAAAAATAGAAGGCATAGATTTCTATATTGATTCTGACCTTTGAGCATTTCATTGATGTAATCCCTCAAGTACTGCATTCTCCAGTCATCACACAGTTCTGTGCACATCATCTTCTCTGATACACCATTTCCTGTTACGTATATAACGGGGTCTCCATACTGTGTCTAAGAATAGAGGGATTTGAGTCACAAAAGGCCAGTGTGCCATTTCTAGTCAGACTACTTGCCACAGGCTGGAAGTAGTTGTTGCATAGTTGTTTACAGAGATGTGTCAATGCAGGGGC